TTGCCCAGGTCCGGGGCAAGGCCCAGCAGCTGCAGGCCGCCTACCAGGCCAGCCTGCGGAAGGAGCAGCTGCGGGTGGACGCCCTGGAGAGGACGCTGGAGCAGAAGGTAACGGGCCCGGGGCGTGGCCTCCAGCGGGCAGGCCGGGGTCACTGGGCTGAGGAACTGTCCGTTTTCAGCCTCATTTAATTCTCAGAAAGAGAGACGTCATCCACCTCTTAGAGAGGGAACCAGGCTCACCAGGCTCAGAGAGGGTGTGTCTTTTGCCCAAGGCCACACAGCTAGAGCCGGGATGTAGAAGACTGGGCTCTAACTCATTTCTCAGGGGGACCAAGAGGTCGGAAGGTCCCTTAAAATCCAATGACCGCCCGGCCGGCGTGGCTCAGGGGTTGAGCGTTGACCTGTGAACCAGGAGGTCGCGGTTGAATTCCCGGTCAGGGCACAGGCCCGGGTTGTGGGCTCCATCCCCAGTGTGGGGCGTGCAGGAGGCGGCCGATCCATGATTCTCTCTCATTATTTTCTCTCTCTTCCCCTCCCTTCCTTTCTGAAACCAATAAAACTTTTTTTTTTAATCTAATGACCATTCTGCTTGGCTTGACTTCAAACCACCAAGAGGTTTCAGCAGCCTTTTTATTTTCCGTCTTCACTTGCAGAATAAAGAGATCGAAGAACTCACCAAGATTTGCGATGAACTGATTGCCAAAATGGGGAAAAGCTAACTTTGAACCAAACGTTTGGACTTGACCGTTGCGTGCAATATGCCCGTCGGCACCCTGCTGTGCTCCCAGGCCGGGGACAGGCGCTCCCGCCGCTGCGTACGCACCGCCGTTCCCTCGCTCAGCCCCGGGGACGTGGTCGTCCGCAGGGCGAAGGGACCGGCGGGACTTCTTGCTGTGGGTTTGCGTTTTTCCCGGGATCGTTCATAGCAAGTTGAGACCTCAGAGTTCCCGCATCGGGGAGAGTCCGAGTCTCTCACGGAGGACACAGCGCTGACCTTGGCCTTGCCCTTTGACCCTGAGTTCCCAGGGCGAGTGGCTCTTGGGTCTAACGTAAACACGTTCTGCTGCACAGGGACTCTTGCCTTAAGGAGTGTACACTTCACCTGCGTTTGCCGATTCGTTTTAATAAGAAAAGAACATGCATGTTTCGAATACAGTTCTCTATTGTAAATAAAAGATTTTTCTTTGGATCTTGGCAATGCGTGTGGTGGAGGTGGATTTCCTGGGAGGGGCCGAGCCTGCTGGCCTTCGTGCTGTCCTGTCAGGTTCCGCCTCTCGCTCCTCGTCCCCAGATTAGATGGCGTCCTTCGATCGTGGCCGTGGTGGTGGCCGTGGTGGGGAGTGGGAGCCGAAGGGAGATGCTGACCTGCGGCTTCAGGAACTCGGCGACGTGTGGAATTGGCCTGGATGTTGTTCTTACGTGTCTCTGCTTTAGGGCCAAGGTCTCGTGAGGGGCCGGAGGCTCCCAGTGCCGCGGCTGCTTTTCTCCTCCTTGAAAGTCACGTCCATTTTTAAAGTGGGAAGCCCGTTGCAAACAGCCTTCCTTCCGTTAAGGTTCTGCCAGAATGGAACCCCACACACCCAACACACCACACACCCAACACACCACCCGCACACCCAACACATACCCAACACACACAACACACATACACAACACACACACCACACACCCCCAACACACAACACACACCCCTTTGGGGCATAGGCTCTGGCCCCTCCGGGTAAGAATGTGCCGGGGCCACACAGCAAAGCCGGCGGCATGGCTCTCAGTGATGCACAGCTCTCCCATTTTTATGTAAATCTTTTAAACCACATCTGGACACAGCGCTGGGAGGGGCTGAGGGGCCAAGAGGCTGAGAACCTCCGGGCCAGCCCCTCCCTCCACAGAGGAGGCTGGAGGGGAGGGCAGGTTCCCACTGGCCTTTCTCGAGAACCTTCCCAGCCACCCCATGCTGTGAGGGGTTGGGCACCACAGGAAAGTGGGGTGACCCGACCGCCCCCTAAGGAGGGAGGCTGAGGGGGGTGCCTGGCCCCAGTGCGTGGCCGTGGTGGCTCTGAGGCGCACCGCCCACAGCCCAGCTGTGCGGGCAGCTGTGCGGAGACCAGGCCGGAACAGGAACTCTCGGAATGTCTGAGTCGTCACGGCACCCACAGCACCCAGGAAGCCGAGGGCAGCACCCGCCT